AGAGAGAGAGAGAGAGAGAGAGAGAGAGAGAGAGAGAGAGAGAGAGTTGTAACAGCAATACAGAGTGAGAAGAAAATGAGAGACGCCAAAAGAGAGAAAGAGAAAACAAGAGAGGAACACCAGACAGAGAGAGTGAGGGAGATCGTTGCATCCATCTCCTAACCTTATTAAGAATGGATGTTTTCTTGGCCTGGTTGAGGAGAGGAGGAAGAGGAGGGAAGGAAGAGGAGGGAAGGAAGGGAGGGGAGGAGGGATGAAATGAGTTTAAAGTATATAGAAAGAAAGAAAGGTGCATCGGGGGTTAAGATGAAGGAGAAGACGAGAGCAGGATAGCGATGACAAACAAGCAAGCGGGGAGGGTCTAATGAGCAGAATGCTGGAGGCACACGCGCACGCGCGCGCACACCTGCAGCGATCCCTCAATCCCTTTGGTGCGGACTCCATCACCGTGATAATAATGCTGGGGTCAATAATATTGGAAAAGTCATTTCAATTTCAAAGTTCAAGACAATGCAGAAAAAAAGTGTGCTGGAGAGAAAATGGCAGAAGGCGCGGCCTGCACTTGTACTGAAATATGATTTTTATGTAAAAGCAAAGCGCAGCTTGTCTTTGAGCCGTGCCTAAAGTTGGAAATTCAACTTTTTTTGTTTTTTTAGGCATTTCCTGCCTGTGACCCAAACTTCACACATACATGGATGATGTGGTCAAGACCACGTGATTAGAAACAGACCAGCTGTTCCATGGGTCACACATCAGAAACAGGTCAAAGAGCCATTTTGGGTCCTGACTCAAAGCTTAAGAAACCCTGCTGCACTGCATCTGCCTCAGGGAGGGAGTATCAGAAGCAAACTAGGTTACCCCCCCCATAAACCCCTCTACACGCTCACACAGACTCCAGTAGGGTACTAGGATGCATTGGCCCTCTGGCCTCGATCATAATTGGTTTCCCGTGTAGCCCTTTCCTTATTAGTCTATTTGGGTCGTGGGCAGGGTCTGCAGAAAGTGAACTACTTTTGTTTTCTTACCCCGTTAAAGGAATTACAAGCGACATCAGCTGATCTCCGGGGAGAAGATTTAGTGGGGCGGTGGAGAAAAAGAACCCAACGGTATTGATGAGGTGACCCAAATCGACATGGCGCTGCGTAATTGTACCTTTGTGCAGGTCTATCCACAGACCTCTGCGTGGAATTCAATCGGGGTTTCTGTAACAACTGGATCAATACAAATATCATAGTAAGAAGTTTTCATTAATTATTAAAGTGTTGTGATAAAACAGATTCAGTGATGCTACTTTTTTCTTTACTTTGGGTGTGTTGAGCGGCGAGGTGCGGTGGTGCGCGTCGGACTTTCTTTTGCAGTAAACCATCACCAAAAGCAGCGCTATCTACTGCACTCATCTGAATGATGACTTCTGCATCGGCGTAGAAAATAAGTGCACAATTTGAGCGAAGCTGAAGGGGCGTGTCGGTCAACGAGCGACTGTACGGAACATTCTTTGGACAAGGAGAAAAGATATGAAAGCACAGTGATCGGACGCTGCCCGATCACCGGGGGAACACAGCTGGCTTGATTGCCGACGGACACGTGCCTCCCAGAGTGTTAATTAAGAGGGCAAATCACCTGCTTGCCCCGCTTAAGCTCGCGCTACAAACCCTCGACGGTACATTGCGAGACCGCTTCTGTGCGTAAGTGCGCACTGCACCGGTCCCGTACGCACCGCTCGCTGGACGTCTTCGTCCCCACAACACCCTCCCCATCAGACCCGTTCAGGCTGACCGCCGCAGCCCCGCGGAGCCTCCCGCTATACTCACATCCAAAATAACAGAGATGCCTCTCCGTGGCTCCGGGGCGAAGAACTGCTCCTGAGCCACGGCCACGTCCTCCTTGCTGGAGGCGTACTCCCGGCTGGAGATGTTCTTGTCGCTCATTTTGGTGACGATCCAGCGGACGAGCCCGTCGATTCCACCGGGCTGGGCGCCGCTGTTTCCGGACTGCGCTGCCGTCGCGGACTCGCTGTCCTGACCGGCTACGGGTTTCGGCTGCTCGCGGGTTTCCTGGTCTCGAAGTTTGGCTTGTTCTTTGTTCAGCAGTTTGTGGACTCCGTCCCTACAGTAGCGCGCTGCCTGCTCACACATCCTTTTGCTGCGGAGCGCTCATGCTGCGCTCTATGGGGGAGAGAGAGACGCCCCCCCACCCCCACCAAGCTCACCAGTTACATCACAGCACCTACCCCAAAACACACCCATCCATCCTGCATTTCCTACTTAACTCCAATATTATCAATCTGACGAGAAATGGTCATTATATTCTTATGGAACTGATATTTTTAAAATTCTGACAATTTATAGTGACTTTGATGCTCATACGGGTATTTACTGTACGTCATATTGTAAATTATTTTTATATTTCTATTGGGTAAAGAGTACAAAGTGAATATACACTTTGTTCTTCTAAAATGTTCTAAAAATATGTGAAGTTTGTTTTCAATGTTCGGTCTGGGTGAGCAGTCAAGTAACACCCATCCATGTTGCTTTTAAAGCTAGAGACCTCTTAGTGTGTGTGTGTGTGTGTGTGTGTCCTGTGTGGCTCACTTTGTCCCAATGGGAGGATCAGAGGATTCTACTCTTGGGAGTAAGAGTGTCCCTTGAACTGTCAGTCCAGCTCCTCATTAGAGGTTTAGGTGTATATATGTGTGTGAGTGTGTGTGTGGGGGGGTGGGTGAGAGTGTGTGTGTGAGAATGTCAAATCTAACCTTTGGTAATGAGTCTCCTCCAGCTCATGCCCTTTCAGCAGAGTAAACTATTGCCTGCAATGTGCCGATTGTCTAACAGTGTGGTTTGGACAAATTAACTCCAGGTAGAAAGTTGACACTTTAACATGCAGGTTGTGAGGATGAGCAAAAAAAAAAATTAAATAAGTAATAATTATGTGTTCTGTATCCAATCACTGAGGCGCTAGAATTGTTGAGCTCTCTTGACATGATTGCCCCCATGTGGACACGAGTGTGCAAAGACAGGCATCGGGCAGGTTTCCTCTGCAGGTTTTATTCAGTTGACTCTTCAAATATTTACGAACACAAATGTGACTAATTCTAAACTAATTCTAAACTAATTATTCTAAGCAAATAAATATACACAGGGCAATTCTGGCTATTATTTTGACACCGGCATTTGAGTTTAGGCATTGAATAAATCATTTGTCAACACATTGAACTGAAGCATCATAAAAGTAAGTTACACACTGAAGGCTTGAGTTAAGATCGTTTCCTGTGCATTTATTTATCTATTTGTCACACATCTCTCTCTCTCAGAGCGGTAGCCCTTTCAGGTAATAGACCCAAGAACAAGGTCTGCTGTGGCCCTCGGAGCACTGGCTGGAGACGGTCAGCTTGCCGAACCACGGCCCCGGGAAGCCTTCAGGAGGGGCCTCAAAGGATATCAGGATGTTGTGGGTCTTTTTGGAGAGAATGGGGTCCGCCTCTTTAACTGTAAAACAATTGTTGTCCACCTAGGAGCAGGGTAAACAATGCTAAATCAATCACAGATATATTAAAACGTTAAAGACATTAATTCAATTGAAGCATTTTGTAGAAGCTCGAGGTCTCAACAGGAGAGTGTAAAAGCCAGACGGCAGCACTCTCTTTACTGTAACTGTTCCAGGCTAAATTTAAAGCTGCTTGCTTCATGCTTCACTGCCAACTGGAAAATGATGTCATTGGATTTCAACAGATTTATTGTGGTGCACAGTGGTTGTATTGGAATTGAATTCCGCTCTTCAATCTGGTTATTTCCCTGGTCAATATCCGGCCATTATCACGTCTTTACCTGAAAAGAGAAAGTGGTGGTCTGCAGGAATATATTCTTGAAGGGGATGGCAACTCTGTGACCGGTCCGGACACTAAACGGGCCCTGGGCTTTGGGAGGGAGGCTGATCCCATGCAAGGGAAAGATGTAATAGCCACCGATCACTGAGGACACGCTGAGCTGGCCCCTCACTTTCCCCAGCTGATGAGGTTCAAAAGAAACCTCCATGCTGACCTCTGACCCCACCTGGGGCAGGGCCTTGTCCACTGTGAATTCCGGGCAATCAGTCTGCAGCAAGGGGATCACATGACAACAAATAAATCGCTGTGGTAACGTTGCTATTTGATTGAAACTGTCAGGCTATGGTTTCAGCTTTCTGGCTCCTGAGTCAGTCACTTACCTTCATACGGCAATATAAAAAACATAACTGCTTGATTTCAGTTTTACAAAATGCATTATTTGTTCATATTTTTGGGCTGAGCTTGCCTCCACTCAAGTCTAGTCATCAGGCAAAGTCAAATTTCAACTTAACACTTTTAGAAACAAATTAATTCAACACATCAGGTGTAATTTTCACTACCAGGGTTTGGTGCTAGTGTCACAATGACAGCCTTAAAGGGACCAGGGCTCTTTTCTCCTCCAGACCCACACAACACATTATACAACTGTCTTCAGAGCCTAAGTAGTAGTCCTCGTGACAAGTGCGTGTGTAGAACTGGTGAAGTGCCCCTTTGAAAGAGTAAAGTGCAAAGCTACAAAAGCAGAGAACAGGCAGGAGTCGACAGAACATTTCAGTATCACAGGAACATGGCGTGCACCGAAAGTTTCAAGTCATTGGCACATGTCTGTTGTTTTCTTACCTTGCCTGAGTACTCAGTTTTGAAGCGGGCGTGGTTGGTAAACTTAACAAGAACGGAATGGCTGCTGCCCAGACAAGTGTTGAAGTGGACGGTTTTCTCTGGTGGTGGGGGAAGAGCTGTGAGAAGCAGATTGTAGTGGAAGTAGCCCAGATCATTACTGTGCAGAGTCAGCCGGGCTGTGGACTCGCCTGCACGCAGGGGCTGGTACTCGAAGCTTAGAGAGCCCTGAACCGAGGACACGCACACGCACACACACACACAGAGAGAGAGAGAGAGAGAGAGAGTATGAATTGTGTGTGCACACAGCTGGTTTTTTCCGTACAGAATTATATGTCCTCAGTATTCACCTTTGACTGTCCTGGCACAGTGTGCAGAAGTGGGGCACTGATTTCAGGGCATTTACACTCAGTGGTCAGACAGGTAACTGTGGTCAGGGGGTTCTCCACCTGCACAGTGGCCGAGGCCGTCTGACGGACAGGGGTCACCAGCTCTATGGTGGACAGGACTCCTGGAGATGTGGCCTTGAAGGTAACAAGGTAGTACAAGTACTCACCGGACCCCTCATTATGAAACGTCACCTAAAGGGAAGGGTTAAATGGGGGACGTGAGGACAAGGCTGAGAAATATATTCAGATCTGGTCACAGAAATGTGTGTGTGAGCAAACCTTGGTGTTGTAATGCCCCTCTCTGTATGTAAAGAAAGACATCTTGTAGTCTCGTCGGGCCAAAGCGGAGACCTCAATGTATTCTAGACCCTTCAGGGACACCGTAGCATCTGGCTTGTCTGGTTTCAGGATCTCCATCAACACACGAAACCTGAGCACACGGAAACACTCATGACCAAAGAAACCCATATTGCATTATTATATTCAGGGTTATATAGTGTGTGCATTACCGCTGTTGCTTAGAGAGCCAGTTGTGCACAGGGAGCATTTCTGTGTGGTGAGTCTTTGCCGGCAGTTCATGCACAATGTTGTCCTCTGCCTTTGGAGGTTCAGCAGTTCCTTGAAGGGAGTACAGCATGCCCGTCCCATCAGGGAAGGAGAAGAAGACCGATCCCTGAGGAAAAAAGGAGCGATATGACAAGTTGATGTCACACTTCATTGCTTACATTGTTTTGTTTTATCACGTATAATGCATTACACTGCACTGAATATGCACAAAAGAGGCAAACAAATAAGTAACGGATCGTGTTTAAGCGTTAGTGCCCCTCTACCAGGTGTTTCTTCCCATCAGCGGTGATGGACAGCGGTCGGTAGGTGATCTTGTATGTCTTGTTTTGGAGGGGTTCAAGGATCACAGAGGACGCAGCGCTCCACTGCTCTCCCTCTACGACAGGCCTGATGCTGCAGTGCTGGTTTGTGGGGTTGAACACGGGCAGAGTCTGGCTGTGAGAGCCACGCACTGGGCAAACAAAGTTCACCATCTGGAGACGAGCAGTCAGACTCCGAATTATGCAATATGTAGTACAAAGGCAGTTCCATGACTCAATGTGCTCATAGATATCACTTAAAGCTATTCAAAGCTTAAATGCAGAGGGCAAACTTCATGTATGTACCTGTGTGTGTATATGATGATTGGAGTAAAGTTCAAGCTACCATGAGGAACTTTCATTTTGTATTGATTATGACAGATCCTGCGGACAAAAGCGGTAGTGTCTCTGAGTACCAGAGTCACTTTGGAAAACATTTTACTGCAGCAGGGTCTGACAGTCTGCTACGCGCAGTCCTGGTTCCCTGAGGCATCAGTATTAAACTGAGACTGTTTCATAACAAGTTCAAAGTTCCTCACAGCAACTTTAATATATATTTCTTTACTTTAAAAGGTGATCATACTAAAATAGAAACATATTACTCAGTCAGATGATGTCTGTTCTCAATAGGGAATACGTTTGTCGCCTTGTTTTGACTTGTAGCTGCCAGAGCACATTAGGCTGATCGAATGTCACTATTCAACACTGTGTATAAAAGTGCATCAATCAAACCTCTTTGCTAGTGGAGGCTACAATGCAGGAGCCTGTTACAGTGAGGGTAACGGGTGAGGGGGAGCCCTCCACACAGCAAGACAGGTTCTCGTATCTTTTGTCGTTAATCAGTTCCACCGGGGAAAAAGTCACTTCGAAAGGAACCTCCATGCCGGGACAGATATAGCCTTTAGCTGGTGTGATGGACAACTCTGGAGGAAAATTCCCTGTTTTCCACTGGAACCTGGTTAGACGGATAAAAAGCAATCAACAGGATATAGATCCAATCAGAATAAGTCATGAGTCCCAAAAGCAGACTACTACAAAGTGAATGTTTTCATAGCAAGTTAAAGAAAGTCTTTTGTTGGATTACGCAACAATTTGTAGACTCTAATAAAAAGGAGTAACTCTACAAAGTTTGTCAGTGCTTCTTCTGCAATTAGTCTGTATGAGGTTTTTATCTTACTGAAATTAGATCATATATACTGTATATTTAACCTCACCTGGCACCAATGTCCCCAGCGTTCATCATGACAATCCTCTTCCTGGCTTGGCAGCGCTGGACAACAGCTCCAAAGGCTAGGTGATCCTGGTCCAGCTGGACCTCCACACCCTGACAGGTAAAATCAGAACTAGTGGTTAACATGACTTCATCTAAATTACAGTATGGAGTTAATGCGACAAACTTTAAAATTTCTTGTTTATGTGTTTCTAAACAAATACAGTTCACACATTGTTTTCAATGGACATCTGTGGAATTTGTGTGAAGATAATTCTGAGAACAGTTACACCCGTTAACTTAAAGCACTTTAGAATAGAATTCCCTGCTTGTCAAGGCACGCAAATACATCAAGCGTTTTGCAAACGATGCCCTTTTAAAATAACAGGAGATTTACTTCACAGCCTTACCCGGCAGCAGCCTTGGATGGTCAGCAGGGGGTGTAACAAGCCCGCAAACTCCGCCTGCAGCTCAGCGGTGAAGGGAGGCGTGTGCTGACGAGGTGAGAACTGGATCTCAACATTACACGAACCAACACTGGCTTTCAGGTTCAGCTCACCTGCTGGACTGAATGACAGATCCTGTAAGAGGAGGAGGAGGAGGAGAATATTAAGTTTTGCTTGCGTGGACTACTCTTTATCAGTGTGTGTGTGTATGTGTGTGTGTGTGTGTGTGTGTTCCCTACCCTTGGATCCAGAGGTGTGTTGGTGTTAAGCAGCAGAGTAAAGGAGAGGTCTAAAGGGCTGCGATTGACCAGAACCACTTGTTTTTTCACCTTCTGACCCAACACCAGAGATCCCAGCTTCACTTTCCGCTGCTTGGGATTCTCCACCTCCAGCTAGGACGGAATGATACATATTCAGGAAAAATAGATCAAATGGATCAGAATTAAAATAATGATATAGTTTAGTTGATATCGTTTTATCTGCCCCTCGTGATTTACCGTGGCTTGTTAGCTTGCCAATGTGTAAGTTATTAACAGAGCTAGCTTACATACTAGCAGCCCTCGGACTGTATTTTCCGGGGCATGTGAAGATGATGTGGACGGTAGTATTGGTGGGACACATGCTGGGTGACTCATGGCCTCAGCTGTCCTACCTGCCAAAGAGAGACCCTTCTCTGTTGCTAGTCACTCAGTCAGTGGGCTTCGGTATCGCTAACTGCTACTACATTCTAGCACACAACTGTTGTGGGATCAGATGCTTTCCGTCGCAGTGATGTGATCAGCGTAATGCACAAGAAGGGATGTTGAACAGCAAAGTGAAGTCTTTTGACATCACTTGAGGACATGTTTCATCTCTGTCCCAGTCTGTTCCCCTTTACACAGTGTCTCCATCCCGTTAGAATAGTGTGGTACACTTCACTGCTCAGAAGAGCATACAACTTGCTTCCTGTTGCCGCTGCTCAGCAAAAGTTACAAAGCAACGCGTCAACACGGTCATTTTAGTAATACATTGACGCATTCTTCCTTCTCACCTTCATCTCGATGCCTTGGCCCAGTATGTCGACGTGTTTCGTGACACAGCTGTTTAAGACAAAGGTGAGTCTTTCATGGTAGCGGGATGCCTCACGAGGATAGAAGTTGACTGGTGCCTCCATCACAGCGCCAGGGGACAAAATACCTGGTTGGAAGTCCATCTCTAGGTAAGAGGTGTTTCTGAACTGGGACTCAACACTGAGGAGGGGGAGGTAGAGCAAATCTGTGCATTTTAACTCTGGAAACTTTCTGAGTAGACACCTTTACCTGACGCGTGGAGAAAAACAGACACACACAACTACCTGATGTCTCTCTCGCCTTTATTGCTGATCAAGAGAGTCCGGGAGGCCGGCCCCATGCCCGGACTGTACACGAAGCACTTGCCAAAGTTGTGCTTGGTGAAGGAGAATTCAAGGCTAGGTGCTACAGCTCTGCCTTTGATAGCAAATGTAAATGTCGGCCCGTGCTTCACCTGACAAGATGAAACAAGAGAGAGGAATACAGGAGTGTTGTTGACAGAATCAAGACAGGAAGTTACGTTTTAACATCGGTTTAAACACAGCTTCCACCAAATTGAACAATTTCATGGTGTGACATTAAAATAATTTAATTTATATTTCATTGGTAAATGCAGGATAAGATTTAAGTCTGCGGATATCTATTCCACCATTTATATTTCATTAAAAGGCGTCGTTGTTGACTTGCTTTTAAAGCCTATGAACAATGCAGATAAAGTCTAGTAGAATCTGAAGTCTGAATTTGGCAGTAATCGTAGTATTTGTCTCAAAGAATAAAATACAATACAAGAAGATCAATAAAAACAAAATTTGAGTAGAATATCAGTTTTACAGTGACTCACTACGGCGTTTTCACCACACTTAACAGAATGTGGAAAAAATAACACAGATTAAGTATTTATCAATGCTTAAAGATTATTTATAGCTATACAACTTTTTTTTTTCTTGTCAGTGCAGAATGAGGCCTAACCAGCCTCATACCTCTCTAAAAACCCTGACAGGAGATCAGCATCTCACCTTGATACTCAGTCGGACGTCCCGCAGGTTGCAAATGCTCCTTGGACAAAAGAAGAGCAAAGATCGCAGCTGCTTCCCAACCTCAATAGTGCCGTTTTGTGGCTTGGTTTGCAAGTGTTGCAGCAGCTCACTGGGACCCGTTAGGTCAAAGTTGACTTCTGATCGGAATCTCGCCAGATTGGACACCAGGAAATTAAAGGCGGATTGCTCTGAAATCCCCACCTGCATATAGTGCACATACAGGTAGATGACTGTCACGTTTCAGCTTTGTGCATCTGAGTATTTGTGTCTGTGAAAGTGAGCTGACCTTCCCGAAGTCCAGAGTGTCTTTGCGGTTGGGGCTGATGTCTCTGAGGCCTCCTTCTGGCTTCTCAAGTTGAACGGAGGTGCTCATGCTGAAACAGTCGGCTTTAACTGTGAGCGCGAGTGGCTCTGATTTCCTCTTCACCCTCAGAGCCAATCTGAAGCTCACATAGCCCCCCCGGCAGGGCGTGAAGGACACCGACAGCGGCAACCTGCAACAAAGAGTTCACAACAATTGACAGTTTCATTGCTCTCGATGACTTCCAGCAGTTTGCTGTGATAGATGGGTTGTAACAAATTGAATTAGTAGTGAAGCAACGTGCAACTTCCTCACAAAGCTTTGATATTTGACACGTTAATCCCCTCATGCCAGATGCACAAACGAGTGCGGCGGGGATGACGGAGTTTTGTAGGCCAACAATTGCCGAAAATAAACTTTGTGTCAAACAAATGTTTACGATACCTACACGTTTGGTTCAGCAAGATGATCGTCACAAATGAACACCACTTTTATGATGTTTGAAGCTTGAAGGCAATCAGCAGAAATAAAAAACTAACGTTATAAGGCTATAAACGGACTGCACCACATGAGCACGCGTATACACGAACATTTTGTAATGTCATTTAGCAACTTTCTTTCAAAGCTGTTTTAAAGACAATTGAAAGCTTCAAAATGCACGAGAGGAATATCTGCTGATGTATTTTAGGCTGTAGAACAAAACGTTTAATTAAGCTTGTGTTAACCACAGACCTTATTTCAGGCATCTAACCAAAAACCCATTAAAAAAACCCAACAAACTGACTTCGAGACGAGGGAACCGGAAGTGCAGAAACGCTGACTCATGTCTGGGTTTTGGGACTTTGATTCCTGCAGCACTCAATACACCAAGTCAGTGATTGTGTTTTCAAAATAACGGACACGGATACATTTCTAAACCTCATAAATAATATAGAGCATTGTGAAAGGAAAGTCGTTACGTTGAGTGGTATTTAGTGTATGTTGTCGTGACATTAACCTGTCTCTGGCGGCCACTGTGCCGGTCACAGGCTGCAAAATGAGGCTGGACTGCTGGTCATCAGAAAGAAGAGATGACTGCAAGACAGAGAAGTGGAACAGCTTCTCCTCCCCGTTCACCAGATCCACTGTCTGTTCCACTTTACGACCTGTGCAGGCACACACACACACACACACACACACACACACACACACACACACACACGCACACACACACACAGTATCTTCGTCAGGCTTGAGCGTGTGCGGATAGTTTTCTGCAGGTAACTTTGACAGTGAACTTTACATATCTATATATATCTATATACGTATGCACTTGAACACTAAACTTCATGCACATTGCAGGAGAAACAGAGGAACATACTCAAAGAACAAAAAGCATTGCTTTGGGTTTAATTTGTGGTGTGACTTGAAAGAGATGTGTGATCATGTCCCAGTGTAAATGCATGTACAGTGAGCATGTGTGTGTCTGTGTATCTATGTATGTTACACACCAACAAGCAGTTCTCCAAAGTCAATGTGAGGTCTGTCGAGGTAGACGAGGGGTTCTTTAGTGGTGCCCACGCACAGGAAGGGGACAGACAGTGACAGAGCCTCAATCGTAAAGCTCCAGAACGACTCCACCGCTTCAAACTGCTCAGCTACATATTCAAAACACACCTGCGCACACACACACACACACGCACACACACACACACACACACACACACACACACACACACACACACACAGCAGAGGATTACAAATGGCAAACAATAAAAAAAAAGAGAGGACACGAACAAATGTATGGGAAAAAACATAAGGGCGAGAGGAATAAAGACGTGGAAGGATGAGAGAGAAGAGTGACAAGCAAACTAGAACTGATTAGATCAAATGAGTTGAGCTGGAAATGGATTGGAGGAGATACAATTAAAAAGGTATTAGATTAAATGGAGGGAATGGGATCGGGTTAGATTTGTTGCGATGAAGTGGGACATGGGGAGACAGTGATGCTGAAACAATAATGAGATCAAATATCTCAAATGAGGGGAGAGATGGAGATTGACCGATGTGCAATGACATGAAGGAAATAATTAGATGATATCCTGTGAAGGAAACTGGAGGACAAATGTTACATGGGGTGGTGGTATTTTACACCACCATTTTGACTGTGTGTGTGTGTGTGTTTCCATCCTTACTTCCACCTTCTTCCCAGGCAAGATGGTGCCACATGGGGTGAGGCAGCAGAATGGGCCGCCACATGTGTCTTCACACCTCCACTTGAAGGAGTAGGGTTTACTGGTTGGGTTCACCACACTAAAACATCTGTGGTGTAAAGCGAGAAGACACACGTATATATACAAAGTGTCAGGGATTAGAGTGACGGAGCGGAAACACTCTCATCTCTCTCTCTCTCTCTCTCTCTCTCTCTCTCTCTTTTTTTACCTTGTTGATGGCACAGAGAAGTCAACAGAGTTAAACTCTATGACCCTGGTGTTAGGGTCCAGATGGCCCCTGAAATCAGGGTTACGGTGTTTCCCACTGATATAGTCTGAGTCCTCCAGGTGAAAGTGGCAGTGGGGCAACAGGCTGCGGCCACACACCGAGACACAGGGAGCCTGATCTCCATCCTGCAAGTTGGGGACACTGAAAGAAAAGGTATACACATGCAGACAGAAAAGAAATCAACAAAGTCTGTTACTATTTATTGTGAAGACATCCATTCACGTCCTCACAGTCATACTGTCCTTCTCCACGTCCAGGGGTTATATCAAAGAGGGTGATGTCATTTATCATGACACAGAGCTCAGGTCTTGAGGTGTGGCCAACTTTTAACCTTTGGCGCAGCGTGGAAAAGTAATCGGGCTGGGATCCAATCATGGGACAACATCAGATCCCCTCCTCCTCTTTTAACTGAGGCGCCTTTCGGTTTGGCTTCACTGTTATATAACTTGTCTATTCTTTGTTTGTTTTTTCGATTTACTGTACCTGCTGACCAGCCTGCCCTGAAACTGGGCCACTTCCACAGGTGAAAAGCGGATGCTGAAGTACTGAGTGGAACCGGGCACTAAGGCCCCTATGCTGGGCTCGATGCTGATGGGCAGAAGCTCTGGATTCCCCGTCAGAAGAGATATCACGCTGGCCAGAGCGCTGGCGGGGCGGGCTCCGGTAGACACGGCTCCTGACCTGCTGCCTGGTCGAGGGGTGAGTGTCCCTTCTGTCATGGCGAATACATGTTCACATTTACACACAGTTTCAACCCCCTTTCTCAAAAGCATTAAAGTGTAATATATTTAATATATTCTATATTGAATTAGCTGATAATCAAGGACAAGTTGACCTTATGATTCATAATAATATTACTGTGCAGTAATACCTCCTTGGTCATGGTTTACTATGTTGTTCCTTGGATCCATGAGGACTTGCCAGGAGTATTCCAGTTTGACAGTGCCATGATTCACGATCTGCAGTCTGCACACACACACACACACACACACACACACACACACACACACACACACGAGTATCATTTTAAGTATCTGACCCTTCAGGGTTGCTGGAACAATATATATTTGTATAGTTAATAAATAGAAAAATCTTTTCGGGGTATCGCTGGCTAGCTGATAGTAAATGTTGGTTTTATGGAACAGCATATATACGTGGAGGCTGACTTACTGGTGGAGCCTGGTTTGGTAAAGCATGGTGTCTTTGAAGTGGATGGTGTCAGTGTTGCAGCTGAACTTCACGTAGTCACAAACTGCGCTGATTCGCAATTCCATCTCCCACTGGGAGCCCTCAACAACAGAGCAGCAGGGCTCAGGATCCGTCTTTATCACCTGCGTGCAAAACATGTGCGCTCAACAATCATTGTGAACTCGTGACTCTCTCTTCAGCATCTCTTTCACAGTCGTCATGTTTACCTTATTCTTCACGGGCTGCTGTGGTGCTCCTGAGGCCTGCTTGGAAGAACTCAGCCACTGCACCGTCCTCTGTCCGTCGTCCCAGTCGGCCACCTGCTCCAGCGGCTGCTGGAACTCCACCTGACTAACTTTGCATCTTATTGGCTGGCTGGTAAGAGTTACTGGCTGATTGGAGCTAAAGGTGACAGTCACTTCCTTGGAACAACCAGCATGAAGGTGCCCCACCTGTAAGAAAAAGGTTATTTTTGATAACGTGCAGCCAAGTATTATATTAAGCAAATGGCAAAAAGAGAGCAGTGTTTTAGAGTCCCTTTCATTAAAACATTATTATTTTTTAAACCTCACACCTGTTCTACAGCCACACCTGTATTCCTTCAATGCTTTACCTGTGGTGAAAAGAAGACATGGGATCCGACAGGAGGCCACTCAAACCTCACTGCCTGGCTGCTGCTGTGGTTGGTCATGGTGAAACTCTCTTGATAGGGACAATCTACATGGCAGTCCCCAAAATTCAGCACCTCATAATTACCTGTCAGAGAGAAATAGACTTTGTAGAAACATTCCTGGATAAGCATACATATTAATAACTCACAACACTTACGGCATTTCTCTGTTCAGAATCAGCTAACGACTGCCACTCTGGTTGATTATTGAACCTACGTCACACCTCACCCTCTCCATTCTTATCACATGACAGGCCTCCTGCCCTCCTGTCTTCTCTTACCTCCCTCTTCATCTTCCTGATCTATTTCCTGCAACGACCGCCTGATGTTGTCAAGAGAGACGATTCCTTGGTAAGCTTCTCCGGTCACTTGTATTGTGGTTTTGCCATACTGGTTGTCCTCCACCTGCAGGGACATCTTGGCCTCGACACTCAGGGGCTTGTCAGAGCAGAAGCTGACCTCAAGCTCCACCTGCTCGTTAACGTCCAGCCTCACCATGGCTCGGTGCACCGACTGACGCTCTGTGGAAGAAGGAGCAGTGTGTCATCAACAAGAAATATGGCGAAGGCTGTCTCCAGCATAGGAGAGAAGCCTATGATGAGCTCAAACACTGACCTTTAGTGCAAAACACCACTATCACAGTATATATCAAGTGAAACCAGAAACACATTTCTAGAGTAATTTCTTAATAAATATTTGTTGATAAATTAACATCAAATTGTGACAAATGACACAAGTTGCACAAACTTCCTAGGTGCCGGAGCCTGTCAAGCTTTCATAGTTGTGTATGGAAGCTGTGAGTCCGACAGCAGATATCCTCGAAATTCAGAGGAGAGTGTTTAATTTTTTCGCCTTCCTGAAGCCAAGAACGCTGGAGAAGCGATGTTGAATACGGATTGAACAGTGTGGAAGAGTACACTCACAGCTGAATCCATCAAAAATCAACAAAAACGTCTTTGTTTGCTCCAAGGTAAGATGCTAACAACGTTAGCTAGCTTATCACATTAGAAAACAAAGACTGCTGAATATGAATTATTATCAATTTATGATATCCAGTGTATGGATCAAGCCAACAATGTGCGAGCAACATCCTGGCACGCTTTAAACAAATGTGAAAGTGGAATATTTAGTTTTATAATAGATGATGAAAGCTATAAGGAGTCATAACTCAATTTAAACCTAGCTTAAAAAAAACCCAATATATTGACTTTCCCTTGTTTCTCTTTCTCTTTCACATGAGTTGTCAAGACGTGGGTCATCCCTGATGAATTCCATTGTGCAAATTGCTAACTACTAATTGTTGAAGTGAAGAGGAGTTTTACGGGTTAAGGTTGTACCTGAGTCAATCTGTGTGGAGTGGATGGAGCTGCAAGTGTTGCCAGGAGCAGCTTTGAGGGTGAACACTCCATGTTTATCCAGCATGTCAATCTGGACCTACGCAACACACAGAGCCACAAAGCACCTTTTTGTGTAGCATATCTACTGTATTATGTGTCGTAAATACAGGTGATTTGATTTCTTTTTTATAGTTGATGTCGGTAAATATGTAATGTTGCGAAAAGAAATGTAGTAAATCTATAATAAATAAAAGGATAAAGGAATATGTCCCCTCTTACCTGAGCTGGAACATTGCCATCATTTAGCAGCACCAGGGGCCGGGTATGTCTGCGCCCTACCAACACTTGTGTGAACTGCAGCATCGGGCATCCTCTGCTGTTCCTCAGAGCTGGACGCACCACACATATATTGGGCAGATTGCCCTCTCCCATAAGGTCGAACTCCAGCACCTTGCTCCTGTGGGAGTAAAATTTATTTGTGTCTTGAAATACATTTGTGTCAAATCAATCATATCCATAATTTGAAATGTTTCATACTGTGATATTGGCCTGTATCATTGTCATATGTTATTCACGTCACTGAGGCAGGGGGTTTGGACACAGGAGGAGGACATCTCTGAAGGGGGGGGGTATAAAGTAGTGTACAGTGCTATTGTGAAGTTAGTTAACTCCGGACAGCTCGGTTTACTTGTATACTTTGTGATGCAAATTAATCTGCGTGAACTTGTGTTCTGTGGGTGTTCGTTACTGAGTTCCTACTAATGAGATCCTGTGGTGTCTCACCACGAGTCAGATAGATAACAGTTACTGAGCCAGCCGTCAGGTATTGAGTTTTAACACAAGTCACAAAGTCAAAGAAGCTGATCATCAACGGGGGGGAAAAAACCACAACACTCCTGAATGTGGATGCTCTGGATTTGACAGAGAGAAGAGTAGGTGGGCTGTGGTCAGCAAGGAAAGACAAGAGATGATGCTATTCTGTTAACACGTTCACATTAGTAGTGGAAATGAATGGACCAATCGACAGCACAGAGAGCAGTAATGTAGCATACGCAGTCATGAACTCATACCTGTTGATTATCTCCAATGTGGCCTCAAACACAGCACTGTAGAGCTGAATCGCCTGAGGTGTGAAGGTGACCACAGCGAACAAGTGTGACTTGCTGGGGATGCTCAGTGTTGTAGCAGACAAATCAAAAACCTCCGCGCTACGGCCCGTCTGTAAGGAAACACCGTATTGACATGCTAACTACCATGTACCACAATCAGAAATTCTCCTGTGCGCATTTATCCGTGTATCCTTTACACATCTTACCTTAGCGCCAACATACTTGATGGCCAAGCTGAGCACACAGGGCACCTTGCTGTTGTTGGTGAGTTTGAATCGGGCCTGGGCCGTCCGCCCCACCAGGATTTTGTTGAAAATGAACTTGTTCTCGTCCCGGACATAAATGCGTTCAGCATTGCAAAACTGCTCAGAGGAGAGCTGACTGCTGTTGTGGCACAGATGGTGTTCCTCAAAGATGGATGACATGTCTGACGCTATACCTGGGAGACAAAAAGAAGGGAAGGAAAACTACAATTACTGCCTCGCGGTTGTATGCCTCCGCTAACCAGGTCTGTTGAGGTTTGCATCCATGTCCGTCCAAAAATGATCACTTCATTATTTTATCCGACTGGACATTTGTGTGAAATTGTCATAGTTGGCATATGAATCCCTAAGTTATGGCCAAAAATGTTTTTTGAGAGGTCACGGTGACCACCAAATTCTAATCAGTTCAACCTTAAGTCTAAGTGGACGTTGTGCTAAATTTGAATAAATTCGCTCAAGGAGTTTCTTGAGATATCATGACAATGGGACGGACGTGAGATCACAGGGACCTTTACATATGACTACTAAAAATGTAGTAAGTTCATCTTTGAGTGGACGTTTGTTCCAAATTTATTGACAACTGACAAGCATGGAGGTGAGATATTTGGAAGCGACCCACAACTTTGGTCAGGTTTTGTTAATTAATCAAGTCAGACAGAGTAAGATCACACTGCTCTCACCTGGCCTGCAGACTTCAGCCAGCAGTCTGTACGGTATGCCATCAGGCTGGTCTGAAGGATCACGGTCACTGATATCAATGAGCAAACCCTGGTTACAGTTGCCCAGCTGTTCAGCCACACAGTCCACTGTCACCACCTGCTGGGAGCCTGGCGGCAAGCTCCGGACGCAGGGAGTCACTGAGAACACCCCCGCGGTGAGGCGATTCTGGAGAGAAACGTGGGAGGATCAGTGAGATGAGAACACTGCGAGGGAAACTAGCACAATCAATAACTTGGATGGAAGGTGTCTCTTCATGAATGCTTTTTTCATCGGCTTCATTTTCGTTGTGCAAATGAAAACGTAGGTCTTACACACAAAAGACAAAAAGCTCTCCTGGTATTTTGACATGGATCTCAAGAGCAGGTTTTTTATACTTTTCTTTCTTTCCATTAAAGATAGCGTTGTTGTTGTATCTTCTGAATAAACCTTGCTAGTGAGAACCTTGACAGCCTCGTGAGCATCAGAGCACTCTTTTTTATTGATCGTTTTGAAACGTACCCTAGAACTTTTCACAGCAGACATATACGACACATTATATATTAGGAAAAGCACAGGTGGGTCTAATAAAGTTAACAATGGCTTTGTTCCATCAAGCCATCAATTAATAAGTAACACCTCTGTTTGACAAGTTACAATGCTGCTGTGAAAAACGTCTGCTATACTTTCGTAAATGTGTAGGATCAGCAAAGATAACATCATGTTTGATCGATTCATACAAAACATCATTAAAATTGGAGCACGTCGTGCTTTTTCAACGATTACCTCTGTGAGTAAAATGGGCTCTCTGACACTCTCGTTGTTGTCGTCTCCACCAGCAGTCTCTCACCTTTAACACACTCTTGTCTTTCTGGACGGACTCGCGTTTCAGTTTGCTACCGTCTGAAGCGGGTCTCTCTGATTGGCTCTCTTGAGGCGTCTTCCTACCTGGACTCCTGAGACCAGCACACAGGGACACAAACCACAATTTATCTTGAAGCAAACTGATTCTGGAGAAGGACTATGACAGTTTTAAGACCTTCAGCTTGTCATCGCGTCAAACAGCAGTTGAGACCTTTAATTTATGCACAAGCCTTTTTTTTTTTTTTTTTATTAAAAAAATGAATGTAATAAACAATTGAAAGTACCAGAGAGATGTGATCTTGAACACAAGCCACATTCGTTTTCAGTTAGGTACTGCAAGTTGTTTTTACTGTAAAGCCACCACCATCACACTAATGGCTCTGGTCTTGCTCACCACTGAATTGGAATTACATAAACCCAAGTCATGAATTGGCAATTGTAGTTGTTTTTGATTTGTTTTACTTTTACATCACAGGGCTCATCATCATAAAAGCAGCACATTCCCACTAATAGGTGAAAAAACAACAACATTTGGAGGGATTGGCAACACAATGATGGTTCATCGAAACGTAATATCTCCGGTATATTACATTTTAATATGGGATTGTGTCACCTGTGGCAGCAGACATGGTTTAGAAAGTGCAGTATGTCATCAACAACTTTTAAACTTCCACTACTTTAAAACTTCATTTGTGGTTTTAAAGCATTTTTTTTTTTTTGAATGACTTCCATTCCATCTCAGTTTTAGAAAAGTATCAGCCCTTGTGTATGACTTTGTGTGTGTGTGTTCTGTTCTCCTACCCTGCCTTCCCCGGTGGCGCAGGGTCCGTGATCATGCGGCGGATGGTGAAACAGGTCTCAAAGTCTCCGTTGTTCTCAATAGTGAAGCTCTGGCTTTTCTTGCAGCCATAGACCAGTGGGCCAAAGTTGAGGTCACATGCAGGTGTGATCTTGTACCTAAAGGACCACACAGCAATTCAGAATTTGTGCAAATGTGAAATGGTAAAAAAACAAAGAGAGATGAGGCAATCTGAATTGATTGTAATATTGTTGCTTAAATACTGATGCATATCACACAAAAGAGATAGTATGAATCAAGCCTTAACCTGGAGAAGACAGACTTGAGTGAAACCTTGATGTCTATGGTACCTACGGTTTGTCCTCCATTCCCAATGCTGGGTTCAATCACCTGCAGAAGAGGACATCTTAACTTGAGTGAGCTCTAAACTGTTTCTATGAATGACCATGAATATATAGTTCAACCTCCACCACTGTAATCATTAAGACCGTTGTACGGCTCTGACCTGGCAAAGCAGGAGAGGTTGCTCTCTAATTAAGACTTCTCTATTGGGCCTGCAGAGTATTTGCACTGTTGTGGGCTTCTCGTGGGGCATTACAGTCCCACTCATGGGGGACACCTTGAAAATGGAGTCCAGGTTTTGGTCGGTCTGCGGCAATGTAAACCTTGTGGAAAGAGAAGAATGCAAGTGAAACAACGTTGTTAGTTCCACGGTAGTTCACTCTGATACCTTAAAAGTCAAAAAGTAGCAGTTCAAACTCACTTGTAGGCTATTTCATATTTCCCTTGGTTTTTCATCCTGAGAGACAGTTCGGCATTTTCAAAGACTTTGATGGTTCCAAAGTCCACACGGCCATCTGCTACAGAAACAAGAGTGTTTCATTTGAATTATCATTGCAACCCAATGGTAAACACTGTCACCTCACTGGATTCAAATATCAGTCTGAATTACATGTGCCTCAATAGATTTAGAAAGGTAGAGACGGAAATGTTATGTTTTTGTATTTGTAAGCTCTACCAGTTCTTACCTGGTATAATCTCTAGATTTATGTCATAGGCTTCTGCTGTGACCTGAAGGTTTTCTGTGTTCACGATGCCTAGAATCATCTCCACATCGGATACCTGAAACAAAACACAGAGCACGTACTGTATATACATACAAACTGATATGTGAAATACCTAGTTTGACACATATCTGCATTGACTCTGTTTGCTATATTACAGCATGTGAACTTTTATAGTTTTACTACACCTCCAGACGCAAGATCTTCTTAATGTGGAGTGGCCTCCTGGCCCTGAAGTACAAGCACAGTGGGAAAGAGGAGTTGGGTGGGATGATGCCCTGATCCTGTGGCACACTGAACTCATCACCCAACTCCTCCACACCCTGAAGTCTCCAAGACACCGGCAGAGCCGTCTTATTGTGCAGCGCCACGCAGCAAGTGTCCCGCCTAGAGAGAAGGAAGGAAGAAGGAAGGTTGACCGTGAAAAAAGGACAAAGGCACAGACAGAAAATAATTGCTGTTGTTACTGTAATTGATGCACAGGATTTTGACTTTATCACGCTGCTTCCTTTTTGGAGGGGGTTCACTTGTGCTTCGTGAAAATCACTTGATACTCTTGAATTTCTCTTCCCTGAATTGGTATACTATGTTTTTGGTACCTGTGCAGCAAAGTCCTTTTAAAGTGAAAATGCTTGCTGTCCAGCTCCAGCTCCGGCCGAACGCCCCAGCAGGAGAGGTTGATGATGACAAGCTCCGGATTGTCCTTGATTTGGCACACAACGCTGTCGTTCATTTGTCCCAGTTTTGTTGGGTAGGCCCACACTGTCAACTCCTAGCAGGACAGAAGAATATTTACATTTACCAACGCATGTTATAATATTATAAGCATCCATATACAACTACAATGGACACCACAATATTCTAAATCTTGTATTTCCCTGTGCCGTAAGATCTGTAGGGTACCTGTTTCTGGTCAGGTTTGAGAGTCATGGTTGGGGGTTCCAGCAGATATGTGGTGGCCTGGCTATCATGCAGGAAATGGAACTGGACCTCAGCCTCCAGGCCTGAATTGTTATGAATCACTAGTTGCTCCGTGTTCTCTGGGTACCTATTTTCCTTGTATCTACACAGACACAGACACGTGAGAATCTGTAAATATAAAAGGCAAAGACTGATACGAACACTCTGCAACATTCACAGCCATCACTCTGCCTCTCACCTGTCTCTGGTCTTGCCACAGAGTAACGGTCCAAACTCAAAGCATTCAGGTTTGATCATGTAAGTCTTCTGGAGCCCTTCTTCCATTTGTGCTGCCTTCTTACTGTGGGCAAAGAGAGTCCTGAGGAAAGCATGAATGGTAACATTAAGTCCAACTGAAATCACATGTAGTCAAACCTTCATGCATTAAAAGAGAATTATAAATGTTTATATATATTTTATTCTTAAAAGAAAGAAATAGAGGATGTTTGTTAGGTAATGCAGTTCAGCTTCCAATTGTGCTAATTTTACATTTCAATTCCCATGAATTTCAGCAGTGCAGTGCAATGCATTTGGGCTTTAAGATTTTTTAGGCAATTCATTTCAAATTTCTGACTGATTTTGTAACCGTCAGTCTATGATAGAACACTGACGTCATTACTTTATTTAGAAATATTGGGTGAAATATCAAAATGTAATTATTGTGGAGTGTCTATTTGTATCTGTAACATCCCCTCTTCCTTCACCATTTATATTTCTGCATTAAGTTATTAAACAATGCTGACTGACATGTAGTCTTTGCAGATGGAGGGATAGGTGCAGATTCCTCTGCAGAGGAGCTGGTAGAGTCTCCGGGTCCCCAGGAGCTCAAAGCCGAAGGTCTGCTCAAACCTCCCAGGGGACTCCGAGTAGAACCAGATCTTCAGAACCAACTCACCGTTGGCTGGTACAACCCATCGAAATGTTGTCAGGCTGCACACAAACACACACACACAAACACACACACACACAACAGCAACATAGCAAAGAATGAAACACTATTTGTGGTTGTGGAGTGTGTCTGTGCGTGTTTTCCCTTGCCTCTGGTTGCGTTTCAGCTCTAAGTTTTCTTGGTGTTGGTCTTGTTCAGTGCAGTCAGACGAGGAGGCGCCGTGTAACAGAGGTGAGCGAGGCCGGTCCGAGTCCTTTGCCTTTGTCTTGGCTGAAGTTTGTCTCCTGCTCTTCTGACTCTCTCTGCTCTTTTTAACCTTGTTTTTTGTAACTGCAACCTCCTTCATGCTGCTCTTGCTGCGAGCTTTGGGAACTGTTGCTGCTGCCTCTTTCTTTAATGTGCACACACAAACACCACGCTCAATATTAGATGGTGACATCACTTTTTACAGTAAATTGGTAGCACATTTCCTGTAAATCCTGCTGCTTCTTGGAAACAATTGTCACTTCCACGCTGGTAATTTTGCACTTGTGTGTTTTAGTGTATATTCATCTGGTGTGAAATACCCATCACCTTTACAACTGATACTCGCACATCTTCCTGTTCGTCCAGCCCTGAGGGAACCAGGAAGGTGAAACAGCTACAGGTGAGTTGACGGTCAGATTGCTCCCTGTTTTTGGGGAAAGGAACCATTGAGAAAGTGGTGGGAGGCGGGATGGGTGGGCCGCTGGGTCCCAACCCCAAATCATCCAACACCTAACCAGATCAGAGGAGAGAAGGAAACAGATGAGGCAATGGTGGTAAACCGATGAAAAAAAACAAGAAATAGAAAACATTTTCGGAAGACGTATACAGTAAAATTATATTTACTACAAAAACAGAAAAATCCGCCGTACCTCGACCAGTGGAGGCAGGGTGCTGCCTTTGAGCAGCTCTGCAGCACTCGGAGAGTCTTTCCCTGTCACATTCAGGACAATATGAGGGATGATGTCCCGTGGAAGCACCGTGTCTGCCATCTGACTGGGTATTGGAGAACAGACCTTGCTGCTGGCTCTCTTGCTCTTCTTGCTAACAACAGCGGTCTGTGCACACAGGGTGAAGATGTATCACATTGGTGTGTTATGACCAATGTTTTGCAGCAACACATTTCTCAGTAACGCATTCTGTAATATCATTACTTTTCCCTGGCAAAAAATAGTGTAAGGGATTACAATTTCTAAAACAGGAATTATATTACAGTTATTAATTAATCCGAGTAAGGCTGCAATATTGGATTTATTTTCTTTGTGCCAGGTGAAGCCGTGTTGCAATGCTGTGAACGCGCGGCAGTTCAGTATGCATCTTTATAATCCCACTGATGATCTCTATATACTGTAGGTTGGAGTGTTCCAATGTTATTTAAAATGCAGCAGGCTTGTTGAACGGCAGGCAGCAGTTTAGGAGAGGATAAAGAAGAATAGCATCATTGTCTTCATTTTTCCAGGCAGTCTTAACATAATTATAGAGAAAACACGACTGACGGTCATCAACCTCACCTGCTTCTCTGTTGGGGCATCCTCTTCACCGGGGAACGGGACCAGCAACAAGCCCCGGGCTCGGTCCCAGTGCTGCAAGATGTGCTCCACCTGTCCCTGGCTCTGCTCATACGCACTGAACTGAGACTGCAGCTCATCCACAATGCACTGGAGGGTATTACAAAGCGGTCATCAGCATTTAATAGCATTTAATGTTTTTTTTCTGGTGTGGCAGAGGCAACAGAATATATGACATGAGCTCATTATTACTGCAAATTCCTATTTTATGATACCAATTACAGGTTGTGATCATCTCACTCTAAATGTTGTCAAAGGCCACTGAATGGTTGTGTATATCCCCAGTATCCAGAGCAAAGTTTGACAGTATGAACAATTGTAGCTTTCAAGAGCTGCAAGAGTGCAAATACAAATGAAAGAAAGTAAGTAACGTATCCATTTGTCTCCATTTGTGCTGGAATTTCTGTGAATACATGGCTAGGATTATCTTAACAAAGCATATTTAAATAGAGCACATTTGTAATGAAATGGGTAACTTCTCATTTGATATTATGATGGAGTGCATTGCTGTGTGGTGGTGAGCGGGTCACTGCCTTTGCTCCTGAATAAACTCACCACAGGAGACTCTGATTTTGATCCCTTGGCTTCTTCTGCCTTCTTCTGTGAATGATCTGCCTCTTTGCTTTGATGCACTGTATTAGCAAAGCGGGACCATCAATAATACATACAGTAATACACAATCATTTTTTGATCATGACTTTTATCTTGTAAATGGTATGTTGTTAGTTTTCAGAATCAGAATGACACTGATTCCTTAGTTTACTGTGGAATTTTTTCTTTTCTTTCTATAATATATATCTCTTCGAGCCCTGAAACAGTTATCACTCAACAATTCAATTCGATTACGTCATCTTGGGCACCACAAGAACAAACTACTGTGAGAAACGGCCATCGTGGTTAAACAGTGTATATCATCTCTTCTTACAGTATCTGCTGACAGTTTCTGTGTCCTGCATTAAATCATGTTGGGATTCCTTACATCTGCTGGCACCTTCATTTAAATGATGTTGCTCTTTTGCGCCCAGTTGTGATTTTTTTGAGTTGTCACAGAAAGACGCCCGACCGACATCCGGTGCAGATGTTGACTGTAGAAAAAACAAAATAAAATATTTTTTTAGAAATCACCGCAAACAGTGTCCGTGTTTGTTTGCGTGTGTGAACGTGGTGCTTGTACAGACCTCCTTCCTACCAGACGGGCTCCTCTTCACCAAAGCTTCTGTATTATCTCTCTCTCCTCCCATTTTACTCTTCTTCAACTCTTTTTCTTCTCTCAGCCTCTTCATCTCTGCACTTTCTATACTCTTGAGATCCGATCACAAAACATACTTCAAGTCAGTTATGATTGCAAAGTTTGTGATTGAATATCAATCATTCCTGCTGTAGATGGGTCCATAGTGAGATTGAAGACAAACATTGATAACGATTACATTTTTTAAAAATTCATGTAGGAACAAGACAACAAGACGTCGGATGCATGAGGGTGACTATCCTTGAGAGTGCCCTACAACTGCCTTGGCCGTTAGATTGCCACTCCTGGTTCTCAGTCCAGCTGTATTTATCGTAGAAACTACTTACTGTACTCTATGACAACATGAACAACAGTTCCATATACAACTGTAACACCTCAGGCTTCTTAAGGCCTATAAGGACAATGTTGTACTCCGTACAGTAATCATAACTACTTTGCAACATAAACGGTAGCAAGCATTTAGGCTATGCCTCTGCAGTAGGTTCCTGACAACACTCTTTTCCCTGGACTTCTGTTTGTTCCACGGTAAAAACACAAATGGACCCAGTTGTTATTTGGCCTATCCTCTTTTTGTTATCGTCAGCATATTCAAGTAGTGTTGGCAATTTTAAAAATGACTCACAGCAGATTTATAAAGCCCTACAGAAGTCATTACTCCATCTTCCCCCAAAGTTTACAGTTGTGTGGCTCAGTAGGCCATACTCTACCCAGTAATATTAGAACAAGTAGCCAGTAGTTAAAAACAAAGTTCATTATAAAATACCTTCAAAAGATCTCACATTTTTACCCGTTATTCCCTAGTTTCACGTATTGTTCCCTTGTAGGTACATGTAAGTATCAGTACCTATAATACCATACAGTGTATTTGTAGTGTAAACCTACCCTTTCTCTCTCCAGCTGGTCTGAGGGTTGAGGAGACTCTGCAAGTACAACTTTGGTTTCTTCCGTCTGCTTTTGCAAATCATCCGCCTCTTTGCTGTGATGCACTGTAGCAGCAGAGAGGACCATATGTCAGCAACTAACCAATCAGATTACAGTCTATATACTACTATTTGCTTGATATCATTCACATTGTTCTGGTGCCAAGATATTGGAGAATGTTTTGTGTCCAGCATTAAACAAAAGGCAGATTCTTTGCCCCTGCTTGCACCTTCATTTGAATTATGCTGCTCTCTGGCGTCCACGAGTGACTCTTTAGAGTTGTGACAGGAAGACATCCGCCGCAAATTCGATGGATCTGCTGACTGCAGAGGAAAGCAAACCAATGAGTTTCATGATCACCACCATTATTGTTATTCACACAGGATTTTGTTCATTAAAGAGTGTTGGTATGGAATACATTCTGTATACAGACCTGCTTCCCCTCCAGCAAGATCTTCTTCTTCGACAATTGTTTAGAATCCCTCTTTCCGCCCTTTCTGTTCTTCTTCTTCAACTCTTCTTCCCTCAACCTTTTCATCTCCTCCTGGAGCCTCTTTTCTTCCTCCTCTTTCGCTTTATGCTCGAGCTCCCTTTATACACAGGCGCACACACACATTCACACGTTTATTTTTGTTTGGTTTAGAAAATCACCAATTTTTTGGTGAAAGCTGCGTCTACTCAGAGCCTCAACAGTTTGATTCATTATTGTGAACAAAAACTAAAAAACTAATCTGTAGAGGCAATCTCAAACAAGTACAGTCATGCACACAACATGAAAAACTGGAGCGTTAACTGAGGATTTCATCCAGGTATGCGGACACATCTGATATCTATTTGATCATATCTTTATTTTCCTGTATACGTTTTCCTGTATAGTTTATTCCTACATAACTACTGTGTTGTTTCTTTGATCATCTCTTTTTGTTGTTCCTTCTGCATCAGGGTTGCATTCATAATCATTTGAAATGTGAAGATGACGAAATTGCGACAAGTTTGTCCGGTTGGGAGAAAGGGATGAAACCGATTTAAAACACTGGTATTAGCAAACCTCAGAAAAAAAATGGTTTTAGGTTCAGATGTGTTGGGCCACTCTCCAGTCAGTACCTGAGTTTCTGCTGTCTGTGCTTCTCTCTTAGTCGCTGGTAAATACGCTCCTTCTCCTCCCCTGACAGAGCGTCATACTTCTCCTCATCCAGCTCCTGCAGCAACTGCTCCTCCCTGTCAGCTTTCTCTTTCTGCAGAGCCTCTGAAGGACACACACACACACACACACACACACACACACACACACACACACACACA